AGTTTAATGTTTTCAATACTGGCGAGGAAAGTGGTGGCATTTCGGATGGTGTGAGGTGAATTTTTGAACACAAGAATGCCATCAAACGACGCGACCCAAAATCACTACCAGCAGAACATACCTACGATACCAACCACACATTTGACTGGACAAAAACGCAACTTCTTGGACGCGCACAGACAAAACACGCACGAGAATTCAAAGAGGCATGGTACAGCAAAGACAACAACACAATTAACAGACATATTGACATCCCCATCATCTATTCACAACTAAAGACAAAACCAAAACAACAAACTAATAACACAACGACTAAAATAAAACACTCGAATTTCATTAACGTAATCGATACACCCGAAACCATGACAATGCATCTTATACCATCCAATAATATCAACTGAACTACCAACCAACCAATCAGACGCTCCAAACGCCTACAAAAATCTTTGTAAATAATATATTGTCACATTCTGACGAAGGCTCGAAGCACCGAGTTGAAAGCTTAATGAAAATTTAAAACAAATCCAGAGAATCCTTATCATTATCATATATATATATATATATATATTAGTTAACTACTGGGTCACAAGATTAAACATGTTTTAGCATAACAATCAAAGTGCTGTAGAAGAACATCCTTTTTAACTGGCCATTATAAATAACTTTCTAGCAAATCAGGGTCATAAAAATAGATATATCTGTGTGTTAATAATACCAACATAATTTTATAGATGACGTGACTTGTTTACGTTTTGCTAAAAGGCAGGTTTAATCGAGTGCTTTTAGACAACACTGGAAACAATGTTTAACCTCCCTTGGGATAAATCTGTCTGTCAGTAAGCTGTAAACAAGCTTACTCTGAGTATTAAAGTCATCTATAAGCTCAGCTCAGTGAGCTAACGTGTCACCATGTTCACTCCCCAACTGCTTGCTTTTTCTTGGTCTTCTATACAAGAATATCTGCCTTTTCCGTGCTCCATTTTAATGAATTGTTTTGAATTCATGTTGCACTTTAAACTGTACCACAATTTCTTTTTTATGTGTGTTTTCCCATAGTTTTTCCTGTTGGATAAGATTTATTGTGTGGCATAGCGGCCAGGTCCTGCCAGACTAGCTAAGCTTATTCCCCACGCCTTGGTTTTTCTTGTTGGTTATTGTACAAATTTTGTCTGAAATAATATCTGAATAGTCGGCGTTTGGAATGTTGCGCAATTTGCTATCTTTTAACACCTTAAAAAGAGTGTCTAGTGTCAAGCCAATCACAGCAAAAGCATTTTGTGTGAGTGACACCATGAAATCTGGATCGACACCTTAGCCATAATTTTGTTGCGCAAATGACTGTGACATCGTCGCAGATGGGAAATAGTAGTAAAACAACTTGCCAAAACAGGGTTGCCAGTTTGGCCTTTTATCGGCCAAATAACTGAAATTTGGCCTTTTTGAAACCTGTTTGGCCGGGAAAATTAAAGCTAGCCGGCCAAATCGATTTTGGCCTATTTTGGCCTTTTCAAATTTTGATGTCATGAAATTTTATTATTAATTATATTACTCGTAATTGACTGACAATGACGTATCAGATGAGTACTGTTGTGGTTGTACCCAGTACTTATGCTCTTCCTCGGCCTGATTTGTTTTCTTCATGGCATTAAAATCAGCTCCCCAGTTGCAGAAGACATTGGAACAATTTCAAGTAAGCAGTCGGTTACTTTGCACTGTTTCTCACTGAAGTAACGAATAATAATTGCCAGATCCTTAGCATGATACACTCATAGTTTTCTGATGAATGTTTAATGTCATTCTTGCACAAAATAACTTGTTTCCTATTTCACGAAACACGCCAGAATAAAGCAAGAGTTAAGAATTCATATCAGCCTTTTCGCGTTATATTCTTTCGCGGACCGTTGGGCTCTAGGGGAAATTAGCTCAAATACAACCTTTTCCCAGCAATTAATATCATAACTTTAATTAACAGAAAATTTGCATCTCTACTCTAGGGCAGCTCTTGGTTTTTCTGTTCACAAAGTTCTTACACTTCTGTCTCTAATATATGTTTCCTTCTTATTATCGTAATTCTCAATCGGTAGTTCTGCTGTTCAATAGTTCAATGTTCGATTCTAGTTAATGGCGTATCACGTGCTAATTCAGGTGCAGTATTCGTGAAACATATCAATATATCATATTTCATGTCCTATTTGTGCTTTGTTTGTATAACAAACATTTACTTAGTATTAACAGATGTGAAAATCAGGCTGTGATTAGAGGTGTAGAGTTGTTTGTTTGGGAACGTTCTTTTTTTCGTTATAAAATTTTCAAAATGCCAAAATGGAAATCAAGTTACGATAGCGGCCGCAAGTACAATTCCAAATGTGAAATAGATTTTAGCTGGGTATCTGAAGCACCTAATAATAAAGACAAAACATATTGTAAGCTTTGCCGTCGCTTGTTACAGGCTAAGCGAGATGCTCTGGCGACCCACGAAAAAAGTGATATTCATCGCTCTTTTGTATCTAGAAGTTCTTTTTCACGGCCATTGACAACTTGCTTTCCATCAACCAGTTCAACATCAAAACGTGCCATACAGGAGTCCGAGATTATGATCGCTGTTCAGACAGCCTGCCATGGATCCATCCAGACAGTAGATCATTTTGGTGAGATATTGGCAAAATATGGCAAAAAAAGTTATTTGGAACATATTAGATTGCACCGCACCAAATGCACGAAGATCATCACGGAAGTCGTAGGTCCAGCTTTAAAGGAAGATCTCAAAAAAGATGTTGAAGGAAAGCATTTTTCTTTAATTGTGGACGAAACGACGGATATATCAGTCGCTAAGGATCTGGCAATTATTATTCGTTACTTCAGTGAGAAACAGTGCAAAGTAACCGACTGCTTACTTGAAATTGTTCCAATGTCTTCTGCAACTGGGGAGCTGATTTTAATGCCATGAAGAAAACACTGGTCTGGTACTGTTTAGATTTGAAGAATTGTGTGGGATTTGGTTGCGATGGTGCCAGTGTAATGGTTGGGCAGCATAACTCAGTGTGGTCCAGAATCAAAGAAATTAATCCAAGTTGTATACTTATGAAGTGCATTTGGCATTCGTTGGCCTTATGTGTTCAGCATGGTTTTAACAAGCTGCCCAGTAACCTTTCATATCTTTTAGAGAAAATTCCTGCTTGGTTTTCGCACAGCACAATTCACCATGATGAGTATAAAGCGTTGCACGATGAATTGAATGATAGCACAGGACTTATAAGTTTTTCAGGAACTACGATGCCATTTGTGAAGTTCTGTAGTACGCGTTGGCTTTCAAGAGGCAAAGTTATTTCAGCAATTTACAAGAATTGGGACGTTCTGCAAAAAGATTATGAAAACATCACCACTGAGAGTTAAAAATTGACGCCATCCCAAAGGTACAAGGCAAGAGAGCTCCTCCGCATGGTACAAGATAATGTTAACCACTTGTATCTTACATTTGCGCTTCCAGTGGTTACTGAGTTTGAACAAATAAATGCCCTTTTCCAGTCGAGCAAGTCCAGTCCTGACAAAGTGTTGAGAGAGCCTGATCTTCACCATCGCACAATGAAATCAAGAGTGTATGATAACCGCGGTAATAAGAAAACTCTGCACCAAATTGATTTTGGAAGTAAATTTATGGCGGAGTTCAATGCTCTGCAAAAGAACGACAGCAACAACGAGAACACCCTGCTGGCTGTAAAACAATGCTGTCTCGAAATGCTGATGACTTGTATTTCTCAGGTAGAGGCACGTCTTCCTGATCAAAAAAATGTGTTTTCAGAGCTTGTTGCACTCACCCCAGATGTAGTACTCAACCAAGTTCGACGAGTGGATTTTGGAAAGCTACCGTACCAGCACCTGATGGGAGAGGACAGTGGCAAAATTGAAGAAGAACACCGGCAAATGATTCACATTAACTGGAAGGAAGAGTTTCCTGGGGGTATCATTCAAACTGATACCGAATCTTTTTGGCTTGTGGTCCGACAAATGCAAAGATGTGATCTTGAAGATGCAAAGTTTGCAACTTTAGCAAACTATGCACTGTCTTGTTTGTCAGTGCCAATTAGTAATGCTATCGTTGAGCGTTTATTTAGTACTGTGACATTTATTAAGAATAAGCTTCGCAACCGAATGTCTTTTAAGACGCTGGATGCGTTGACACGAATCCGAACAACTCTCTATTTCCAGTCCAAATGTTGCAAAGATTTTACAGTGACAGAAAGAATGTTTCAACTGTTCACAACGGAAAACATGTACCAGCTTGATGAAGAACGGAACCAAAACACAAACCGGGAGGGCAAAGAAGAGCAGGATGTTGACTGTGAACTGTTACCGTTGTTTGATGATGTATGAATTTTATAACTTTTCAACATTCCAAGAGTTGCAAGTCATTATCAACAAAAATGTAAACTGACTTATTAGACAAAAATATTTGTTAATCTTTTTTGTTATATCTTTTTAATGATATACATACTTTCATCTTTTATTTTTTTGTTTAACTGTTTGGAACGGTTGTTGAAATATAGGCTGAACTGACTTAATAGTCACTTTACAAAGTCATTGTTTTCAATATGCATTGTACATAATTTCCAAGGTTTTGTCATGAAATACAACACAGTACTCAAGCGCGCATATGTTTCGAAATGGTTTCGGTATATTTAAAAACTTAACATATATAGTTCAGTGGCAATGAGCAATTTGGCCTTTTATAATCCAGTTTGGCCGATTTTGGCGATCAGTTTGGCCGATTACGTCAAATACGACCCTGGCAACCCTGTGCCAAAATCAATGATATTGACAACAGTGATTGTACATATTATATCTACCATGATCTCTTACACTGCGAGTATTGATATTCTGCCGTATACTAAGTCGAAGTTTCAGTTTTTTTAATATTGAAGAAGGTATTTCCATCGAGATTCTTAAGCTAAAGAAGCTTGTGAACGCTTTTTGGTGCAAGAGAGAGCTTGAACAAGCAAAATTGGAATAACGACGACTTGTATGATCTTGTGAATTTTCAGAATTGCCTTTTCTGCAGAGTCGGAATGACATATAATGCTTTGTGCACCAGTAAGGTAAGATTCTGACGTAGTTACTTTCTATAGATGATAAAAATCACTCAATTATGCTTATGGCCCTAAATGATGTATGTATCAAATGGAATTAATATGGTGGTCAGTCACTCAAAGTTCATTAAAATGACCTCGTATTTTCATTGAAAATAAGCCATCTCCTTAATTACTAAAGCTTGCTATAACACTACAGCTGTGTCCTTGAAGCTGTTTGATTTGTACCCTATTGATATATATGTATATAAAATAATGCTACTTCTCAATTTTTGATGCCTGCTATAACACTGCAATTGTATTCTCAAAACTCACTGGTTGCTTTGTACCATATAGATCGTATAAATAATAAGCCTCTTCCTCAATACTTAAGCTTGCTATAAAAAAGCAAAGTTCTTTATTCCCAGAAGCTGGTTACTTTGTAACCCTACCATATAGATATATGTAGAAATAAGCCACCTCCTCAATTATTAAAGCTTGCTATAAGAATGCAGCTGTGTCCCTGACAATGTTTGCTTTGTACCGAAAGATGTATAAATAATTATCCTACTTCTCAATTTTTAATGCTTGCCATAACACTTGAACTGCATTCCTGAAATTGGGTTGCTTTGACCATATAGTTATAGAAACAAGCCACCTCCTCAGTTCTTAGAATTTTCTATAACACTGCAACTTTGTTCTCTAAGATGTTTACTTTGTACCCTATTGTTATATAAATAATAATTATCCTTGTCAATTTATAAAGTTTGCTGTAAACTTGCAACTAATTCTCCAAGCTGGCTGCTCTGTACCCTATAGATAAATAAATAATGAGCCTCTTCCTTGATACATAACATTAAGCTTGCTAATTTGTTGTATAGCTGAAGCTGATTGCTTTAGACATGATCATTCCCTAACATTAAAAAAATAATTTATGTACCTCAACTATATAACTATATAGTAATATTTTCTACTCAACTTGTTTTAGTACTTTGGGTGATGGAAATTGTCTTTACAATGTTTGTTCTATTATCTTGATCGTAAATGAAAATCTTTCCACTATACTGCGGTGCCTCACCAGCATTGAGTTATAAAAAAATGATTCATACTATGCTAAACACCCCCTTTATTTCTTAGTAAAGACCGAAAAAGCGAGGTTATTAAAAGGATTATTATATGGCATTATTTGACCTGAAACGAAGCTTGATTCCTTTCTCATCTTTGATGTTTTTACGGGTTGATTTTAACTTTTCTAGTTTTCGTCCATAAAAAATAAATCGTTTCAAATTGTATCGTTTGGATAGTTTAACTGTTTTCCGAGTGTTTTTTGCGTTTTGCTGTTTGCTTTACGAAGTTTGTTTACATTTGACTGTAAAATTACACGTTTTGGACCGTGGTCGATTACGGGAAAATAATAAACCGGCAAAAGTGTTTCTGAGCCAATCGAAGCGCGCCACTTAGCCGGAAGTGACGCGAGCCATATAATAATAATTACCATTTTTTACCATTATAGTTACCATTACTTACCATTGTCTTCCCGTACTTACCATTACTGACAACTACTTACCATTAGTTACCATTACCTACCATTACTTTATTGTTAGCTTTTCTGCAATTTTATTGGTTATACATATTCTGTTAGGTTGATGGATCTTTTGTGGTACAAAATGTGCCAGTTATTGAAAACTTGAATTTAACCCCGTATTATGAAGAGTATAAAAGACTTGGCTTTGGCTCTGTACTTGAAGAACGTATAGGGAGTAAAAGTGGATCTTGGAGGCTTTCTATGGTCAATCTTTCGTACGCAGCCTGTCGAAGGTAAAGTTATAAGAAAAATGGAGGAGATGATTTTCAATTACAGAATTGTTATATGAAAGGATGTTGTATGCAGTGCGGTGTTTGAAATTGAATGAAGATATGATCTTCGCACTTTTGCTGGACAATTTAAGCAATTGTCTCATGAACATGAAAAATTCAGGTGACTCAATTTACAGAATTGTTATGCTCAAAATTTACGAATAAGACTTTGGAGCATTTAACCCTTTCATTATTACCATAAGTGTTTTAAAACTCATATTTACTATCGTATAATACATTTATTTTGCGAAAGGGTAAGCTTTACAAGTCTTTGAAAAATAACATGTTTCGACAAAATAGTCATGATATTGTGGATTTTTCTTTCAGTTACCCGGCTGTTTTAGTGGTGCCATAACACGTGACCGATGACTCTTTGTTTCGCTTGTCTAAAAACCATCGCCATATGCGTTTTCCTGTTGCGACGTGGAGACATAAAGTCAATAAATTCGCCGTTTTATTGCGATCTTCTGCCATTGAACGAAGCTCTGTGGCATCCATCATTCGCTCTGGTGAGGCTGCAAGTGGTGGAAGCACTGACGCAATACGTTCATCCAACGTGGAGCAAGATAAATATTTATCTGCCGTTGGTTAGTTGTTTACATTTATCGTTTCAACGCTCGTCCCCTACCCTCACATGTTAGTGCCCCCCCCAGCGCAATGCCTCCTCCCACATACACACAGATCTATTGCCACCCTTGGTATCACAGCAATATATATTACTTTACTATAACTATTGGTATGGTTTGTGGATTCTCGTTTTTTTGAAAATCCCATTTTGAATTAATGTATCCTCGAAAAATAAACAAGAACTAATGAAAATGAATTGTATAATTGTTTTTCTAACACTGAGTGATTTAGATATAGCTTGATTTTCTACGCTATTAATTTATGGATGCTGTTAATTTTTGTAAAATATTTTTATTTGAAATAAGTATTTAGGGACTGTTCGCCATTCTTTAAGTTTTATTAACATTAACAAATGTACCTGCATTTATAACTTTTTCGTGTCAATCCTAAAGTTTTGCTTTAAGCATTATTATGTGATTATGTAACCGTGATTTTCTATGCTTTTAATTTTAAGTGTCTTCAAATCCTGTATCGTGGAATAAAGCAGAGGCGAAACATCGTTCACTGGCAGCCAACGTCAGCATGTCTAAAGCAACGATGAATCTACGATCAAATGACAAAGCATCTAAACGTGTTTCTGTTGTGGATTCCGTTGACAAAGCAATAACTGAGCAAGGATGGGAGCCTGCCGCATTGTACGTTTTTTAATCTTTCTTGGTGTTTTTATTATCTGTTTTATTATTTTAGCGATAGTCAATGGCGATAGTAGTGTAAGCTCTCAATACCCAAGCACAAGATCTTACGTTTTGTCATATCCAGTTCCTTTGAAATGGATTGTTTTTTTTTCATTTCCATTTTAATATGCATAAATAAATATTCTCCACTCCCCCCTCCTCCCAATGATCGAACTGGCTATGTCTCTGTTTCACGTACGAACAACTACAGTTAATACTTCATGTTGTTTTTTTGTAGGTGAGATGTCATTTGCTCAAGTACTGTTAGATCCATACTACCGAACGATTAATGGTTTTAAAGTTTTTGTTGAAAAAGTATGGTTGTCCTTTGAACTTTGTTTCTCACATCGCTGTAATCATACACATTCAACGCAATCAAGTGGATTCACGCCTGTTTTCTTGCAATTTCTTCATGGCGTCCAGCAGGTTATCATTATTTCTTAAAGTTATCTTAAAAAATTGGGGTTAAGATAGTATGGTGTCTGTCGTCTGAGTATTTTGCGAAATTTTTTTTTATATTACACAAAAAATACCTTTGACCAAAGCTTGAGTTAAGCATAAATTTTTTTAAAAAAAACTTTATTCGATCAAAAATTTTAGTCATAAAGTTAAGGCGCTTTTCTCGCCATAAATTTGAAATATACATTTAACTCTTAAAAGCAACTCCGTCGTGGTCATTCTCGACTTATCGCCGAGTCCTAGTCAATGTTGTGCTTTGTGATTCGGTGATTTTCGGCAATGTGATCAGTTTTGTCTTGTTTCTTAGTAGCTCGTTTGTGTTCAGTAAGTCTTATGTTTAAGTTACTGCCAGTTTCCCCGATATAGCAGGCGTGGCAGTCGGAGCTGTTTATTTTGTAAACTGCACCTTGTCGTTCGTTGGGTTGTTCTTTGTCCTTTATGTTTGTTAGTACTTGTCGTAACGTTGTGATTGGTTTATGTGCGACACGTATGTTGTATGGTCGTAAGATACGCGAGATAGTCTCAGACGTACCTTTGATGTAAGGTATCGTTGCTGTTGTCACTGAGTTGTTCGTTTCGTTGGGTTCGTTGGGTTTGTAAGTGTTGCGTTTGATAAAGTCAGAGTTATAGTTGTTTTTTTCAAAAACACGTTTGAGATAGTGTTGCATGTTTGTAAGTCGTGAGCGCTCGTTCCTCTATGGATCACAATGACAATTGTGAGCGCTCGTTCCTCTATGGATCATAATTGACACCCACACATTACAATTAAAAACACCACACCTAAATCACACATCACAACTAAAAATAAAATATTTCACTTCATACTAGTTCACAATGACAATACACATTTCCTGTACACACAATGCAAGGACGTAAGAACCAGATGACAAATACGGCTAACTTGACGTTTACTCCTCATTTGACTCCGTCTGCATGTAGTGCTGTGATTATGTCATCTACGTAGCGAAACCAAAAAGGTAGTGCATGTTTGTAAGTCGTGAGCGCCCTTTCCTCTATAGATCACAATGACAATACATAATTGACACCCACACATTACAATTAAAAACGTCACACCTAAATCACACATCACAACTAAAAATAAAATGTTTCACTTCACACTAATTTACAATTACAATACACATTTCCTGTACACACAATACAAGGACGTAAGAACCAGATAACAAATAAGGCTAACCTGACTTTTACTCCTCATTTGACTCCGAAGATGACTACCGCTAAGGTTGTCGAAACGTCAGTTAACAACAACAAAAACAGTCCTTCTCAGGACTATACCAACCTAGACGATCTACATTTACAAACATCTAATGTTTGTTGTATGTTTGCTTTTTCTTAAAAACACACCCATTTTATAATGCCTATTTTTGAAGGGCATGCGAGGACAAGTTTTATATTAGTATAAATTTACATGACTTCTGTATGGAGTTGTGCACTTTGAAATAATGTTAATAGAATGGTTGATAGTTTTAACATTTCTGTACATTTCAAGACGTTTTTAATGTAATTTTTCGTGTTATGTATATTTTTAAACAGCTGTATAAATTTCATAATTATTCAAGTACAGCGTTTAAATAATTGTGATATTCACCTTATATAAAGATCTTAGATGTTTTGTTATTTTCACATAACGCAAACAAAATCTTCCAAAGGATAATTAGCCTTCATTATAAGTGTTGGGTAGCTTTCGCCACAAATAAAAATAATTCTTGTATGTTGCCTAATGGTGATATAAATTAGTTGCATAATGAGAAAGGACATATCAAAACATAAACTTCCGCACGAAAATAAGCTGAAAATAATAGCTCATGCAAATTAACCAGAGTTCCTTTCGGTTATAGCTTCATTGATGGTGACAACAACAAAGCCAATATCACATTTTAATTAACGTCACAAACGATGGGTGGTCACACTTTTCAAGTTTGGTATAGACAAAAGAAAGGTCAAAACCATTTTAGGCTTGGACTACTGGGATCTCTATCAAAACATTTATCCTTTCTGTAACAAAGTAAAGAATACAAGAAGCTAACTTTTGGTAAAGGATTTCATACATTACAGATCTCTAACTGAAAATAGGAAAAGATATATCCCCAAGGCTCAAAGGTTGGTGAAAGTTTTTCTTATTCTCTCGATAATACACGTGTCATGTATGGCATAAGAAAGTAGAATCGGCATTCAATTATTTAAGTTGAAAGCTTACTGCCATATTAACATACTCAAGATCATCTAACACCAAATAAAAAAAGGCAGAATGTTGTCTACAAAAAAAAAAAACAGCAAAAGGTAGCTAATTTGGTTAACATTTTAACAGGAAGTTGTCTTCGATTTGACTAAGCCTGAATGCTTCTACTGATTTCGTCAGGGTGAATTCTCATTTATCATTGATGCATTTGTACGCAATCATCTCTTTTTATAATAATTCCAAATGTGAATTGTATATTTTATTCCTTATTTCATGTTTGCTCAATCTTTCTCCAAAAAGAAATGAAATAACATATCTAACGTTTTCATCATAAGATGTTTCCAAAGTAGCTGTAACCTTCTCAAATTCGACTTTTATATCACAAATTATTCTTTCCACAAGCGATCGAAGCGTTGGCGTTTGTATTTGTGCATTTTGCGTCGCTGTAAGGCAGGCATTATTTCGAGGATGAGAATCATTTAGTGAAAGTAAAAACGCAGGAGCAATCGGTATACAACGCTCAATTTTACTTTTACAGTGCTCTGAGACAAGATGGTCGTTTGATAACAACGATTGTTGTGTTTGCATAACAGATTTTGAAGCGTATGTAGAAATTCTGTGAGTTCTTCATGAGATTCATAGCCAAAGGATGCCTATGAGGCGCCAAATTGGACTTTATTCTAAACTTACAATACTACATAACATACTAAAATTATACGTGGCAAACTTTAAATACTTCGAGACAAATCTAAAAAATATGTCCGAAACTTGCTGTAGGACATTCTAAACTTTTCATATAAGTTCGAAACTTCTTGCATCGTATCGTCAAAATTTATAGCCTATTTTGAAGTTTCATGCAGCGTTCCAATCCTTTTTATAACATGACAATCGTCGTATTTTTTATATAGTCTGTGAGAAATTTATATATACGGTATGGCGAACTTTTTACATCGTGTTGCATAATTTTTTGCGATCCCACTTCGTTTACAGGTTTACGCCCTTTTTTCTCAAATTCAAATAGCGGGTTTAGGAGGCACTGGAGGCTCGGTACAAAGTCTTTATTCATTCTTTCAGAGAACTAAAGCAATTATTGCTGAAGCAGAGCATTTTATCATTTCAGAACACCCATTTTTTGACAATATCGACGGTTTAGAGCACATACACGAGCGGCTTTCAGAAGCTGGGGCCTGTGGACACTGTTTTCACGTTAAAACAGAGAGCAGTAAATCTTAGGGATGATTTTGATATGGCGAGTTTTCATAATGACATGAAACAGTTATGCTTCTATTTAAGTCGACTTCAGAGTTTCTTTCAGAACCTTTTTATTTTATATATTTTTGTTTTGTTTATGTTTCTTTCAAATTTCTTGAATAATTAAACAAGTTTGTGTGTTGCAATTTTCAGCCGGTATTTCAATATTATGCTAAAAATATATCAGCATTTACACTCTTTCTGTGCAATTTAATTTATAAATAACATTTAATTATAAGTACTAGAGAAATGATCAAAGTATTAAAGCGAGAATATGCACTACGATAAAAATGACGCAAAGTTATAATTCAAATATACATGTAATGTTTTGCTCAATCAATGTTCACTATATTATTTAAAAAATGTTATGATTAACAACAATAAAAATCATATGGTGTAATACCCTTGTTTTACATAACAATATATTCCTACCATGGTTCAAATTCCTTTGCATAAAAACATTTATTATACACGGAATTAAAGGATGCGTATGATGTTTTTATGAGATGAGTTCAAGAAAGTTGAAGTCGTTATCAGTTCAAGGTATGATACACAAAAAATAAATAAAGTTGTAATTACTACACGTCATAGATGACATTTATTTTATGTGTAATGTTAATGACTTCGTACTTTGAATTTAGTTATGGCTTGCTTTAATTCGCAAGTGTTGAAATTTGTACAAAACCAATAGTACTCAATAAGCATTTAACAATTATTTGTCGTGCGTTCCTTTAAAGCAGCGAGTTATGATTAAACGGAAACATGATTGGACGATTTTAAGTTTTGAATGCAGACCGGGAGTCGGACGACTCGACGATTTAAAAATCAATAAAAATTATTCATAACACGAATTTATAGTTATAACAAAATAAAGCCAAATTAAGCGTTGTATTTATTAGTCTTCTAATATAAATTTGAATCCACCACTGAATGACTAGTATATAACGTAGACACACTATAGATGAATTTTGACTGAATTTTATGTGATTTAAAAATAAAATATTTTGTTTTTGCTTGTGCACTAAACCTTTTCAATGTCTTATTTGCGTCTAAGGCCCGGTTCAAACGTCGCATTTTACATGCGCCGAATCAAATCTGAGTTTTAGTCGACTAAAATAGTTTTATGCGTAGTTTGATTCAGACGTCGAATTTAATAGTCGCATTTATTATAGTTATGCTTCCACTTTTTCATAGTTTATTCATTTTCTTGTACTAATTTCCTAAAATGGCGAACAGGAAAATGTTGAGTTTATGCATTTCAAATACAATTCGTGTTAATAGGAAAAGACGAATATTGATGCATGCTACAGCAAATAAACTATTAGAAACGAGACGGCAGCTTCTGCAAATTTCCCATGTTTTTCTACGATTAATTGGTCAAAAAAATAGCGTAGCCCTCCTTATCGATCATGTCGAAGACAAGATAGAAATTCCGGCTGGTGGAAGAAAGTTTAGAGTATTTATTCTGATCTTCGATTCAAAAAAAGATTTCGTGTATCTCGAGGAAACTTTCTTTTTATTTTAAGTCGTATTCGACCTATACTTCAAAAGCAAACTGTCACAGAGGAACCCATTTCTCCGGAAGAAAGACTTGGTATATGCCTTTACAGATTGGGACGAGGAGATTACTTTTACACCATCGCTGAAATGGCAGGAAGAGGAGTATCAATGGTGAGCACCATTGTGCAGCAGGTATGTCAACTTCTCGTTGAATACTTATGGAATGAAACAATTTCAAAAAACATGCCGAAATGTCAGACTGATTTCAAGAAAAAAATCGTGGACATGGAAGAATTATGGCAATTTTCCTGTATCTGGGCTGCTTTGGATGGTTGCCATATTCCTATAAAATGCCCCCCTTGGTGGTCTTCAAGCGTGCAAAGAATATCATAACTACAAGAATTTTTATTCAATTGTTTTAATGGCCTTGGTCGATTCTACTTCGCCTTCTGTGCTCTCACAAAAGGACAGTCGAAATGAACGCATGCTCGCCCGAGAAGATGTACTCCTACCAATTTACTGATCGACTTCCTCAATCCCAATCTTTTCACGAAAACATGCATCGCAACGAGAAACCGCTCGTTCTGCTTTCCAACCAACACTCCCTTCATCGTCTTCAAAAATAGAGCACCTTGTACATATAAATTTTTTGCACTTTAAACAAGTGTATTATGTTAAACTTGTGCACGAAATTCAAGGGCCATTACCATCACTCGCCGCCGCCATGTTTTTACAACTTTGCGCATGGCATTTAGCATGGAAGTAATTGATTTTTGCTTAGAATATCTTAAAATAAATTATGCATTAAATTCGGCTCATGTAAAATGCGACGTTTGAATCAACATCGAATTTTCGTCGCATATTCGACTAACTCAGTCGAATATGCAACTAAAGTCGCATTAAATTAAAATCCGTCGAATTTAATTGATTCAAACGTCGCATTTTACATGCACATAATTTTCGCATTTGATTCGGCGCATGTAAAATGCGACGTTTGAACTGGGCCTAAGCCCACTATACGACAACACGTGAACTATATATAATTTAAATAAACTACTTCATGGTATGTGACTGCGTACGATTTAAAACTCAACGTAGAAAATTCCTTTCTTACGAAGGAACTTGATTGTTTTGTATGTTCCGTTGTTCCTTTTCTTTCCGAGAAAAATGTATTGTATTTCTTGAGATATTCACCAAGTTGCTTGACGGAAATGTCGTCGATGCTCTGGGATTTATATTTATTTCGGCAATAAATATTCTTGAAGAAGTCTTTGCCCGTATTCTAAAAGCTAACTCACATTCACATATACTGATAGCAGCATAAAAATCACACTCTATCTAATCTTCAGCAAAGTCATTTCTCCATCAATGGCAAGATTTTCCTTAGATATTTCAAATCGTAGAATCAGTTGAGAGAAACTGAGGATTTGAATATGTATAAAGTGATTTCGAAGCCCCACTCATTGACTGTGTAATGCTTGGCATATTTTTTGTGCGCATGCGTTAAGTCCACCGTTTTTCTGGCTAGTAACTTGACAACAGTGTACTATGAAGTTGTATTGAAAAAATATGACTTTGGAACATTAGTCATCTCATACGCAGAGCAGAAGATTTTGAAAGATGACAAAAGGTAGTAAGAAAACAGGAAAGATATATAAGATATATATATAGTGAGAGCTCATAATTTCATTAGTAACAAGTACGTAAATGCTTGTTCATTGGTAAATTTGAACGTTTCAGTTTAGGTTATAGGGTTGTAAATATGATTATGTTTACGAAAGTCTAAAACAGAATTAGAAAATAGAACGAGACTTAGCTGAAGTCGAAGTTTTATTGAAATTCTGTGAGTTCAGGAACTAGGAAGTCATCTGAGATATAGCGCGCGATATCAAGATCAGTTTTTATACATATTGGAAGGCAAGTAGTATTTAACATCATTTGAAAAGAAGTAATTTGTAGTTGGGTGGGTGACTTCTTACTTACTGAACAGTAACTCATAGAATTTCAATCAAACTTCGACTTCAGATAAGTCTCGTTTAATTTTCTAATTCTATTTCGTCACTGTTCTACGTCACTAGGTAGTCATGTGAGATTGTAAAGCAATTTTTGACATGAGCAATAACTAATAACAAAATTATGTAATTGAAATTACACATTTCATGACTCACAAATAGCAGAAAATAGATCATTGCCAAAGTTTTTCCGCCTCAATTGGTTTATTATAAAATGTTTGAAAAATTTTTTCATTAGGCCATGTAGCTGCGTTCATAATAGTGTCCATACAAATATTCAATGCGTTTGCCG